AGTCTCCTGCCTCAGCCTCCCAAGTAGCTGGGACCACAGGCGCCCGCCACAACGCCCGGCTATTTTTTGGTTGCAGCTGTCATTGTTGTTTTGGCAGCCCGGGCTGGATTCGAACCCACCACGTTAGGTGTATGTGGCTGGCGCCTTAGCCACTTGAGCCACAGGCACTGAGCTAATATCTGGGACTCTTAACATTGACATATATTATTGTCATAATCACAAAATACTATCATGTCCCATCATATTTTGTAAAGAAACTGCAGTTAATGAAAAAAGTCTTATCTTGGATTCTTGTGGGAAAAGAGAAGCATACATAATACAGTGAGGTCGTGGTTTCCAAAAAGCCCAATTCTCTTACTGAAAGTATCATCTGTATTCTCTTAAAAAGTAATACACTTGCTTCTTTCAAAAACTGATAGTGGTTTGCTCATTAGATAAGTTTTCCCGGCCTGCAAGTTAGTTTAATCTGAATCTACAAAACAGATATCACCATATGGTTAAGGTAAAATATTAGGAAAGGATCTAAACAAATATTACTTTGAGATACAGGTTATCTAAGCAAAATATATATCAAATATGTAAGCATAATTTTTTATTTGACATAGAACCTAGAAAAATAAGACTTTTTTAAGCTATATTTTCTAATATGGCTTATTTTCTTCCTTCCAAAGAAGAATGAAATAGTCTTTTTCTAAAGCAAAAGGAACCTGTTATATCCAGCAGTTTTAATAATCTTTAATCATCATGCAAAGCCATATGAAAATGCATTTACTAAGAACAGTAGCAGCTGACACCACTTCTCTCAACCCCTTCGGAAGAATTATATATAACGTACCTCAAAATGAAAACTTTAAATTATATTCATGTTATTTTAGTAATTTACTTACAATTTGTATAAAGAACTCCAAAATGCCCAAGAAAAGATAGTTATTGGTTCAGAATTGATATTAGTAATATAAAACTAGAGGGGAACAGAAACATATTATTGGATGTGTCTACTGAATTAGGAAAGGAGACTGAGAGATTTAGTGCAAGCTTCTGAATCTTGCTACATGCAGACCTGATGCCCAAGCGGTATGGCTGTAAAAAAGATGATAACATGAAAGCCACCATGCAAGAGAAACTACTGATATTTTATATACTAAGAAATGCTGCTTCAGTATAATGGAATACTGACTATATTTTAATCACAGATAATGACCTCAGCTTAGTAATAATTTTAAGTCTAGCTTTAAAAGTCACAAATAGAATATTATTTGTAATCCTAGCACTCTGGGAGGCCGAGGCGGGTGGATTGCCCTGAACTCATAGGTTTGAGACTAGACTGAGCAAGAGCAAGAGTGAGACCCATATCTAAAAAAACAGCCAGGCATTGTAGTAGGTGCCTGTGCTCCCAGCTCCTCAGGAGGCTGAGGCAAGAGAATTGCTTGAGCCCAGGATTGGAGGTTGCTGTGAGCTGTGATACCACAGCACTCTACCAAGGGTGACAAGGTGAGACTCTGTCTCAAAACAAATAAAAATAGCTGGGCATTGTAGTGGACGCCTGTGGTCCCCACTACTCAGAAGGCTGAGGCAAGAGAATCGCTTGAGCCCAGGAGTTTGAGATTGCGGTGAGCTGTGATACCACGGCATTCTAC